ATTATTATTATTATTATTATTATTATTATTATTATTATTATTATTATTATTATTATTATTATTATTATTATTATTATTATTATTATTATTATTATTATTATTATTATTATTATTATTATTATTATTATTATTATTATTATTATTATTATTATTATTATTATTATTATTATTATTATTATTATTATTATTATTATTATTATTATTATTATTATTATTATTATTATTATTATTATTATTGTTATTATCATTATTATTATTATTACTATTATTATTATTATTATTATTGTTATTATTATTATTGTTATTATTATTATTACTATTATTATTATTACTATTATTATTATTATTGCTAAATTGTGTATTCCATCAAATTTTAGATAAATGGAAGAATAATTCTCAAGAAATTGTACAAGGATTCATATGAATACGTTCAAAAGAATTGAATTTTGCTAAAATTTAAGTAGCATTTCTCTTTTTTTTAAAAAAAAAAGGCAATAATAACCAATTTTGGAATTGGACATGAAGTATTTTTGGGAGTACCACAAAAGCGACATGCATGGCGACAATTTTCTTGCATAAATTGATCAGAATCTCCCCGACATTGACCATTAGTACTCCATTGATTACATGCAATATGACGATCAGTACATTCTGAAATATATTCATTTCCATTTCAAATATTACCAATTTTATACATTCATATAATTGTCTGTTTGTAGCATTTTTTGTTTTATAAGAAATTTAAAAAAAGGAAAAAAAAAAGTAAAAAGAATGAACGAAATGATAAATAATATAATTTCATCATTATCACTTTCTTAATTAAGACAAATAATCAAATCTTTGTAATGGTTATCACAATTATTAAAATTTACCATTGCTAGTGTTAAACGTTGAATTGCAAATGTGACACGCAGCACGACAATATTGTCGCATATAATTACGATTTTGGCGACATTCACCCATGCTAGCCCATGATTCACAACATGGATGTCGATTGAAACAATCGACAAATTGTCGTCGAACTTTTGTTTGTGAAATTTGTGTCTGTTGCACCTGTGAGAGACGTGTTTGTGGTACAAATGGCTGAAAATATTTGATCAAAAATTTCAGTTTCACTTCAAAAAAAAAACGTCAAATACTTGTCACCTTAATTTTTTTCAATTTTTATTTTTATTTTTATTATTTAAAGGATGTCGAACTTTACGGTGTTATTTTTTCTTGCAAAAAAAAATTTTTTACGAATTTTCAAAATTTTGAATTTTTCAAGTAAACATTTCAAAAAAAATTTTTTTTCATTTCTCTTTGTTGTGACAAAATAATTTACCGCTGGTGTTGGACCAGGTACACAACGTCCCATGTGACATATTCCATTGAAACAAGCATCAAAACCTTCATAACCAATACATAGACCATTTAATTTAATTTTAGCAACACAATGTGCAATACCACGAGTATCACAAAATAGATATGGTGTACCACAAGTTGGTATTTCTGCGGTACAACCGGGACGTGTCGCATATCGATACATTTGTTCCGTATACATATTCGATAAACCTGAAATAATAACATTCATCTTTTAGAAGTGAATAAATTTTAAAATGTAAAAATAGAACCGACGAATTCATGCTCTTATATTTTGAAAATTGTAAATTTCGTTCTAAATTATCAAAAATTGATTTTTTATTTTAGCACATTTTTATTTTACAAATAAATTAACTAATTTTTCATAACTTTAATTTTTTCATTTTTTTAAAACATTATTTATAGGATATTAAGATAAAATACAATTTATCCATGCCAAATAATTGAAGAATATTTTTCGCAGCTAAATTAAAAATAAAAATTCAAGAATCGTTAAAAAAAAAAATATTTCAAATTCGAATTTCAAATCTACATCTTAGCTATTTTTCGTTGTTTATTTTAAATAATTTAATTTCATTTTTTAATAATTATTTCCATTTCTTATTCATATTGCAGTTTTATGTTATTTCAAATTATCTGCCAAAATTTTTCATCAATCATTCGATATTTTTTGCCCTTGATATGTTGATTAAATTTCAATTCGATCAAATGTTCCACCTATTTTCTTCTCATCAAAAGCATTCATTTTAAAACTTTCTCTTTCTGAATGCACTAAAATTGCTTAAGCCGGTTTTACATACATTTAAGCCCATCTTCTTCGATAATTATTCATTCTGTCATTTGGTTTTATTTACTAATAACATTTTTCATTTCCATCAACTAACTAATAAATAATTTAATTTTATGCTTTAAAATCGAAACACTCATCAAAATATTCTTTTCCTTTCATAGCTAAGCTCTATTTGTTTACAACAGTTCTTAGCAAATTTTTACTTTTATAATTTTTTAAAAAATTTTTTCATTAAATTCAATAAACAAGAAATGAAAATACTACTATATAAAAAAAAAAAAGAAAAAGAAATTTACCATCTCGATTTGAAAGAGTAAAAAATGGACGCATTAATACATAACTGAAATGTTGTGGATCAGTACATGCTGGTATATCTGGTGGATAATCCTAAAGAAAAAATAAATATAAATTTTAAAATTTTGTTAGATTTCAAAAATTTTTATCACCATAAATAGCAATCATTAAAATCATCTGCCAATGATTACTTTGATTATCATTTTTATCAAAAAAGAACTGAAAATAAAAATGAACCATTTCTCGAGACCACATTGATTGAGCATTTTGTCGCCATAATTCCCAAATAAAATCAACAAATGCATGATGTGAAAAGAATATGGGATCATTGGATGATTGTTCTGGTGGCTTCATATGACCACCTATCCAAAGATGGACATTAGAATGTGAATATTCTAATGCACCATAATTTACCGGATATGGACATCCTGAAAAGCAAAATAAAAAAAAAAAAAATCGAATTATTTGAAAATCACCAATGTTATAGTATTTAATTTAATCGATTTTTTCTTTTAAATTTGTACATTTGAAATTAAAAAAATGAAAAAAGTTAAATTAATTTTGAAAGAAAAAAATTTTTTTTTTAAATTTTCAATAAAAAAGATGGCAATTTAAACCTTGCATTGGTGCAGTATATGCGAGAATATTTTCGATTGAATTTTGTCGCATTACTTGTTCTATGCTCCATTCCGTGAAAAGTTGTCCTTCTTGGCCAAGATTTCTGATGATAGATGTAAATTTTACAAAATTTTAAATGCTAATTATGCTTAATTATCTAAAGTATGGCTTACATATACAGTAATGGAATCCTAAATAAAATATTTAAAATATTTTTCATTTTTTTTTCATTTTTGTAATTAATTAATCCTTTTCCGCTTTTTTAATTAATCCAATTATCAACCTCATTATAGCAGTTCGTCCATCAATTGTATTCCAGTATGCAAATGGACCATTGATGACGTTACCGAAGAAATCAGTTTCACCCATAAAAAATGGACTAAAGAAAATGGAATCAGCTGGATTCGGCAAATGGCTATCAAGCACAGAATCCCAATACGGTATGGAAATTGTTGGATCAATAAGTCGAAGTGCAATTTCAAATCTAAATGAAAATTTAAATTTAAAAAATTTGTTTACTTGATATAGTGTGGATGATTAAAAAATTATTAAAAA